TTATATAGGATACATTGTATTATTTTTAGTGTAGTTATTTTAAAGTACGATGTTCAATTTATTTTAGGCGAAAAGCCAAGTTTCTATTCGACTAGAAAAAAAATTATATTAGTACGGGGCTAGAACAAAACAAAAAAACCAATTAAAAAAAAAGATCACTATTTATATACCCCGTGATCAGGGTGCATTATATTGTTACACGGTGCTATGTTAGATACAAAAAATTTTAGTATACCCTTAGGATACACATATATTAATTCTATAATTATATATTTTTTTAGATACTAAATTTATTTATAAAAAAATTAAAATAGATTATCTTAATAAAATTTTGAGTAATTTTAATTTGAAAAAAAGATTTTGTTAAAATTAGCCTAACTGATTTGCTTAAATATCAGCCTATATTATTAATATATGATTTATAGTTGATCATTATATATTTTGTATTAATACATGTCGCAGATGATACTGAAAACAGATGATGCTGAAAATCATATGATTACATGATGATCTTCCATATAAACAAAATATATAAACAAACTTAAAGTGCTATAGAACTCTAGCATTACCAACTAAAAATTTTACTGTTAATGTTAGGGTTAAAGTTTGGGTATGGCCATATTTTAATTACCCTAGTGGAATTAAATATAATATATGCAAAATAAAAAAAACCTTCAGATTTTAACCCTAACTCTAACACCAATATAACACCAATAGCAATAATAATGCTAGGTTGTTTATGCAGAAGATCATCATGTAATCACATGATTTTTAGTATTATCTGTTTTCAGCATCATCTGTGACAATATATAATAGATGTGATAGTTAATATATAATAGATATGACAGTTAGTGTATAATAGGTATGACAGTTAGTGTATAATAGGTATAACAGTTAGTGCATAATAGGTGTGACAGTTAGTGTGTAATAGATGTAATAGTTAGTGTGTAATAGATGTGACAGTTAATATAAAATAGATGTAATAGTTAGTACGTAATAAATGTGATAGTTAGTATATAATAGGTATAATAGTTAATATATAATAGATGTGACAATTAGTGCATAATAGATGTAACAATTAGTATATAATAGATGTAACAATTAGTGCATAATAGGTGTAATAGTTAGTGTGTAATAAGTATGATAGTTAGTATATAATAAATGTGATAGTTAGTGTGAATAAACATAACAGTTAGTATATAATAGATGTAACAATTAGTGCATGATAGATGTGACAGTTAGTGCATAATGGGTATGATAGTAGTATATAATAGGTGTGATAGTTAGTGTATAATAGGTATAATAGTTAAAATATAATGGGTATGACAATTAAAATATAAATATATTATATAAGAATTAATATATGTGTACCCTAAGGGTATAATAAAATTTTTTGTATTCGACATAGCACCGTATAACAATATAATGCACCCTGATCACAGGTATATAAACAGTGATCTTTTTTTTTTTAATTAGTTTTTTTGTTTTGTTCTAGCCCCGTACTAATATAAATTTTTTTTCAGTCGAATAGAAACTTGGCTCGTCGTTTTAGTACCACTTCTGAATTCGCATCGTCACTTTTTGATATCATTGGTGTTGTCGTTTCACTTTTGGTACCATTGGAGTCATCGTTCTTGGTATCATAGACTTGTTGTCTTGCTGCTAGAATGTGTGTTGCTGAATTCGCATCGTCACTTTTTGGTCCATAGACTTATTGTCTTGCTGCTAGAATGTGGATTATTGTTTTGAGTTATCACTATTGTGATTTTGGGAATTTTTGCACATTTTGCGTGTCGCTATTCTGGGTCTCGTTTTTTTCTCTTGGGTGGTGTCATTTATATTATTTGTACTGATATTCTTTGAT